GTGTGGCAAGCACAATGATACTGTATGCCCAGGGAAGTCGAGAAAATTTCCATCCCGAAAGATTCCCTCGTCCGGACCGGGAATCAAACCCGCCGCCTCCGGCTTGGTAATACCGTGCCTTTACTGACTAGGCTATGAGGTACCTTGCGAAGATACTCGTAAGTTTTTGAAAACTCAGTTGGATCAAAGAACACACAAAATCAGTAATTTTAGTAATGGTAAAGATGGCTCCATTATTGTTGAGTGTGCAACAGGAGCAAATGTAAGTGATGTGAAAAATGGTAATGAAAGCAATCTGGGTGAAAACTATAGTGCTGTTGTTCCCACTTCGATTGAAAATAGTGGGCATGAGCGATCACTATTCTCCCGATGCCTTCATTGACTACTTAAAAAGTTAAAATAAAGACATCGCTATTAATAATTAAAAGTAGTGAAAAGTTGTAAAATTGAAGTGCTGGAGGAAATATTCGAAGCAAGCTGTTTCGAATCTTGTGGATTTTCCATTCACGGCCGGTAACTTAGATAAACCTACAGCTGTTCTTAATAACGCTTTGAAAACGTGTACCTATCAACTAAATAGTTGAGCAAAAGTTTGTTTCTTTGAAAAACTCGAACAGCTGGTACAATTTGGATCTTTTGCGTCTTAAACGGAAAAGAGACAAATGGTACAAACAGTTTTGTAGATCAAATAATGACAATCAATGGACTAGGTACACAATCGCGCGTAATAAGTATTCATAATCGATAAAGAAAACTCGTTATGAATATGTACAAAGGAAGATTGATCAGCATCAAAACAACATAAAAGAGTTATGGAAAGTTTTGAAATCTTTATTAAAAACAATCTTTTTGCAGATGGTACTGTGTTATTCATTGCAGCTAAGGATTTAGAAGTTGCCGTCTCACACTTGAATGAAGATTTGCAGTATCTAAGTAGATGGTTGAAGCACAGACAAACAGACATATCACTCGCAAGTTGTTCATCGAATAAGCATTTGACGGTCAATTTAAAAGTATCGTAGTTGGTAGTACCACCACCTGTGGCGCGTATAGTCAATTCCCTTGCGTTTGACGTTTACACACTACCGCCATCTGTTCAGTGTAGTGCCCACCACAGTGTACTCAACAGATGGCGGTAATGTTTTAGCGACGATGTTTTACAGTGAGACATATTCCATGTGTTATGTCTGTTTGTCTGTGGTTGAAGTGTAAACAGTTAAAATTGAATACAAGTATAACTAAATTTATGGTAATTTCACGGAATCGATTAAATGAGAACGACTCTATTGTAATTGATGATTAGACTATTGATCGTGTTCGGGAGATTAAATATCTTGGCGTGATTATTGATGACAAACTTAGGTTCAACTCTCACATTGACAATGTCGTCAAGAAAATTACCAAGGAGTATGGAATTCTATGTCGATTGAAAAACGATTTAACTATTGCTAGTAAAATACAGCTATACAAATCAATCATCTCTCCTCATCTAGACTTTTGCCCATCCATTTTATTTCTGTCCAATGAAACACAAATATTGAGATTACAGCGCTTGCAAAGTAAAATTATGCGTTTGATTTTGAGATGTAATAGATTCACTTCCTCAACTTTGATGCTGGACGCTTTACAATGGTTGTCAGTGAAGCAAAGAATAGTATATATGACTATGGTGTTCATTTTTAAAGTAGTTAACGGTTTTCTGCCTCGATATTTGTGTGATCGAATTGAAAGAGGAAGTGATTATCATAGATATAATACTAGAAACGCGGATGAAATAAGAACACCACATTTCTTGACTTGTGCTGCACAGAATTCATTATTTTTTAAAGGAATAAATGTTTTCAATTCGATGCCTAGACACATTAAACGTGCAACAACATTCGTAGAATTTAAGAGACCTTGCATTTCACACGTTAAAACTGTCTTTTGAACGGTTATCCAGTGATTGTTTTTATGAATTGACAAATTATGTATCTTGACGAAGTTATTTTTAACGGATTTTTTTTGTACGGATAGCTGTTATAACGACTTTTTAATTATAATTGTAGCACTTTGTTCACCACGATGGTGATGATGGATTTTTATATTTGATTTAATAGTAGTAGTAAATTTTTTTTTTAGTAGTGTAGCTCCCCCAGATCGTTTTTTTTTTGCTAACCTGGTTAAAATGTTTACATTCAATTATCTTAAAGATAAATCGTCCAGCTCAAACCTTTGTAGGGGTAAGAGGTGGGACCATCATCATCATCATCATCATCATCATCATCATCATCATCATCATCATCATCATCATCATCATCATCATAATTACGGAAAAAGGCCATGGAGTGGTATGCTACCAACAATGTGCAGGTGATGCCCAAGGACAAGAACCCTTCCTACACGTTAGAGCTCCGCCCAATCAAAGAATATTGAGCCATCGTAGAGCGGGCCTGAAGAAGACCCAAAAAGCTGTGGAAACGAGAAGCAGTAATGCGTCGAACACAGTTTCCGGGGTGGCTGTACAGAATCTGATGGCAGGAGTTAAACGAAAGGCCCTGCAATTCGGATTCAGTGCAGCCGGAAGCTTAACAAAATATTTTACTGTATTTAATACTAATTGAGCTTTAAAAAAAATTGATAAAATTTTGATCGTTACACTCTTTAAATATACAAAATGCCAAGAAATGTAAAATTATGATTTTAATACACCGGGCATAGTTAAAATAAAATCAATAGGTAATATGGTCTTCTGCGCAGTACGCAAAAACGGTTGGGCTAGACAACCGAGCCTCTTACATAACATTACATTACATAACCATTGACGTTAGCTGTTGTCTGGCGACATGAAGCAATTCAAATGAAATGTTGTCCCGCATCGAGCATATATGACCGAGAAACCAGTTTTTTCGCCGTTTCACCCAAGTTATATTTTACTAACGATTGTATATGTACCGGGACGACGGTCGCAAAATGAATGACATTTGGAAATCCACAATATCGAAGGTAAACACAAATTTGATATAGCGATGCAATTTTCCAAAGAAATATTATATACGTTAATGTAGTCAATGACATTAGGTATAGCGAACGACATGCAAAGTCTAAATGACGAATTAAAACAGATCATTAGTTTGACCTTGGATTTAACATCTAGTGTGTCAATACAGAACAATCAGATGTTAGGGTTAGATATAATGGACAAGCTGAAAATTCTATCGACAAACATTAACAGTATGGAAGCAAAAATCCAAAGCAGCTCTTCAAATACAGCTGACTCTATAGAGTATGAGTTAAATGGTCCATATAATGATCGATCAAATTGTCGACCAGTCAGGCTGGCGCCTTTGGAAGGTGTGGAAAGCTGGCTGGACAGAATACGATCAGAGAAAAATGCAATTATTGAACCAGCAAAAACAAGCTGAAAAAGCGAGAAAACGCTTCAACAAGACTAAAAACAACAGAAGAAACAAAACCAACTAGGGGAAACGCTCCTATAGTTGCGGTACGTTAGAAGCGTTAGGTTCCTATAGTTGTGTACGGAGTCTCCATACACAACTATAGGAACCTAACGCTTCTAACGTACCGCAACTATAGGAGCGTTTACCCTACGACATCAATTTCAAATATTCAAACCGACGTAGCTATAACAATAACACGAGTAACCTCAGCATCGTCAACAGACAGAATAACACCCACCTACTTCCACCGGATAAAGAACTTCTTGCGGTCGCGAAGGATCGGTTTTGCAGACCGCCGACTAATTATTGACCTCCAATTTCAAAGAGAAGAGATACTAAGCCCGTACCCGGTGAGCGTTGAACTGTTCATGGTAATAAACAAAGCATCTGATTTTCAAACATTCAAACATAGCATTGACGTTTTTACACTTGCTGTAAAAAAAAATTGTTAGAAATAAATGTAAAAAAATACAATTCTATATCGTTCATTAGAAAGCATGCTATTTTTCATGACACAATTTCTATAGGCCAGAAACCAGTTGAAAGATGTTATCAAATTAGAGACTTAGATGTTGTTGTCGATTCTGTCATTTGCTGATCACTACAAAAGCATTATTAAAAGTACGGGTTTATCAAACGATTTAATATGCACTTTAATGATCCTTACACAATCAAAGCACTGTACGTAGCATAAATATGTAAAGCCTATTCTTGAGTACTGTAGCGTAGTTTGGGCTCTATATTGGTCGGATCCATAACAGGAATCTCTAGAACTAAACATAAAAAAACATATTTTAAAAATTTCGGTATTAAACACCAAAAATTGTGTGTGTGTTTTTTTAAGAATGCCATTTGATTACCTATGGCTTGAAACAGATAATGTAATTCGAATCAAGTCTATAGGTTGTATCGTTAGAAACGTATCGTGTAAATTTCGACTCTGCGGCGCCCACCGTGTAAAAAAACCGCGTTTAAAAAACCGTGTGAAAAAAACTTGAGTATATATTTAGTTTCTGCTAGTTTTCAAATCCACTGTATAGATTTTTTTCAAATTTGATACCATGTATAAAATTGAATTTATTGTTATGCTTAAAGTGTCAAAATGTGTTCAATGGCGTTTTCAGAAAAATGTAATTTTGTACTGACTAACTTACAAATTCTATTAACTGATTAACTGACAAACGGGGATTTTTTGTCAGCGGAAAAGTGTTCACTACTTCACTATGAATTATTTTCACGCTCAAATGGCATCTCGCCGCTCTCATTAGCATGACAATAACCGGCAATAGGGAATTCAGTAGCGGAAAACAACAGCTCTTGCAAACCAAATTGTGCCATTTTCATGTGATTTTCCGCCAAGTATGAAAATCACACCACTACAATTATGCAAATTTAACAAGTTCTCCCATCGTGCCCCGCATTTCCCACACGCGCATTTAGTATCAAGTATCATTCTCAAACCGTTTTACGTTATTTTCTTTCATTCTACACGCCAACTGACTGCCTCGAAACTGGGTACCGCTGCTGTGGGACGACATTTGCTTCGGTTTCGTGTTGAAGGTGGTAAATACGAACCGGTTCTGATAGACAACGCATACAAAGTGGTGATGAAGCTGAGCATCAAGGTTGTGAGCGAGGCCGATTTCGGAACATACAAGTGTATCGCCAAAAATTCCCTCGGGGAAACCGACAGCGGTATCAAGCTCTACAGTAAGAACTGCTTCTCGATACCTCTATACGTAGGCTAGAGACCATGCCTTTCGGTTATTTTCTTTTTCTTTTTCTCAATCTGGCCGCCGCTAGTGTCCAATTTAGTTCCCATGTGCTTCTATGGCGGAAATAAGCGGAAGCACCTGTGTGACGGCAGCTTTTCCACACGTTTACCTAGTGTTATGTTTTGCCTTGTCTGTTCGATTTTATGGTAATCGCTGTTTTTCCGTTTCAGAGCTTCCAAAAAGTGCAATCAGCTCGGTGGAATTATACGAAGGACGAAGAAAAAGTAAGTATTGAAGCTGGTAATTTTCAGTTTAAATTGGAGTCTCTTGAATGTCATAAGTACGAACTAAAGATTGATGCATTATAATTATAGATTGTATGGTAGCTCATCTAGACACGCATTTTTGACCTATGAGTGAATATCAAGGATACGATTATGACGGTTATTGATCTAAAGCCAGGATACTCAACGGTGATTACTATGTGATCATCATAAATTTCATAAGCTAATGAAAAGCTAACCCTTATTCCGAAAAAAAAGACGCACTTCAAGACTATTAAACATTAGAAATAGAGTGCCATTAGTTTAAATGACACTGTTTCATGTGCTACATTTCGAGTTTCTACCATCAGTTCTATTCCGGTAGAGGAGTAGAATTTTAGGCATAGCGAGAAAATATAGTTGACATCGTGATTACAGCTTGCTGGTGACTTAATTATGAGGTTCCGGAAATTTTGATGATATTAGTTTTTATTGAGATTAATGAAGGCCTTCGACCAATGGATGGTGTTTAGTATAATTTACATTGTCCTTATGAAAACACATTTACATCGTTTAGATTATTACTCCTATGTTAAAAATATGTTCGGAACTTTTTTCTGGATCGTCTTGCAAAAATCCATCGATTATGTAGCACAAATTTCAACTTTTTTTTTTCATTGATTCCATGTAAATAGGGTCAATTTTAATATGACGTCAACTCTTGAGCGGGTTGAGGGGATCCAAAAATGTGTGACAGTACGTATAATATGTATGGAAAAGCGAGAAACAGGGGGGAGGGGTTTTAAAAAAGTCGAAAATCTTGTGGTTGTAATATTTGATTTGTCCCTACAAAGACAGTTAGATTAAAAACCATCCTTGAGCTCCAACTGACATTAATTTTACCCTTCATCAACCTTACCTGTAGTATTATGTTGTTATGCTGTAAACCAGTTCATACCCATATGTACTCCCTGGAACGGTATGGGATTCACTAATTAGTGCATTGCCACTAAAAACAACTCCTTACTCTCTCCTCTATTCTGGATCGGCCCGAGACCATGGTGAAGCGACTACTACGGAGGGTAGTGGGCTGTGCTCATACACTTGTCATATTCTCAGCGCTAGCTAGCGTTGCTAGATCGCTGCTGAATTCTGCAGTTCCGTCATAATTTGTGTAAAGCATACTGCTTTCGACTAGATGGTTCTGTACGCACTCAAGATTCGCATGGTCATGTGCCGGAACAAACTGTTCAACTTTACTTCAACGTCATTCAGCATGGTTTCCAGTGCTGCAACCCAGGCTAGACCTCCGTACCACAGTATCGACGTACTCTAGCCAGAAGACGCCTCTTGCTACTGCTCGGTTGATGACCATAACCGCCTTATTGTAGGCATAGTCGACGTGGCTGTTGCCGGTCGTCGATCATCATTTCCAGGTATTTTAGCATCTCCCCAGTTACCATCAAGCCAACGATCTCTACTTTTTTGGGCAGCTTGAGTGGCAGCACGCCATTGTTCATCCCGTTCCAGGGGGTTGGACGAAGGATAGAACCTTGTGGATCTCCCACTGTGATCCTAGTTGATGTCTGTCCTATGTTTGTCTCGTAAATCAGCACCCGATTCTGGAAGTAACTCCTCAGAATCCTGCACAGGTAGTAAGGGACCCAAATTATGTGTAGTGCTTCAACGATGGCCTCCCAGCTGGCACTATTGAATGCGTTCTTGACGTTTATCGTTATCACAGCGCAATATCGATTTCCATTCTGCTTCTGTCTGGACGACTTCTCGGCTCTCTCTCTCTCTCGACTATTGTCTGAATCGCATCCACCACCGATTTCCCGTTCCTGAATCCGAACTGCATCTTCGACAATCCATGCTTACTCTCCGTACATTTCGTCAGTTTGTTGAGGATAATCCTTTCCAAGAGTTTTCCGTGTGTATCCAGCAGACATATACTGCCGTTATACGCATAACTGTTCCATGTTCTATGTAATCCTTATGCACCGTGAGACTATTATGCGTATAACGGCAGTATAGGTCTATATGATGCTGGATTCCTCGGTGGTTTTACTGGCTTCAGCAGCAACACTAGCTTTTGTATCTTCGATTTGTCTGGGAAGTGACCGTCGTCCAGGCATTTCCGCAGCACCATCCTGAACATGTCCGGGAACGTCTGGATCACCGTTTTTTGCGCCACGTTGGATATTCCATACGGACAGACAGTGTTCGGAAAATCATTCTCAAATATCATTCATTGAGCCTCCCTGCGAGAATAAACTTGCGAACGAATGCGGCAAACAAAATTCACGCTTGAGATTCTCATGCATATTCACGCACTCACACTCACAACGCTGAAAAATAATTCCAGCTTTAAACTCATAAAAACCACTCAAACTTCAATTGATATCATGCCTATTCATGTTGTGTTAGTTTTCCAACCCCTGATGCACAAACAATAGTAATAACAATGAATATCGCCAAAATATAAAGCAATGCATTTTTGAACCTAAAAACTCTTCGGTGATTTTTGCGACGTTGAATTTTCCAAGGCAAAACTCATAGTATGTCATGTATGAGATTTGAGTTTTTGAGTTTTACCGAACACTGCGAACAGGGAACTTTCTTCACCTTCAATCCTTTCAATATTGCTACAAGTTCCTCGTTTGAGACTTGTATACCTTCGGCGCTGTCTCCCTCTTCCTCGCCGTATTGTGAAGGTGGCCAGTAATAGTCTCTCAATGATGAGCTTCAGCTTGTCTGAGCACATTTCAGCAGGTGTTGTTGGACCTCTGATCTTCTGCATCGCATCTCACTATGCGACACTTCAGGGGTTGACACGTCGTCACGCGTCTTGGTACGGCTTCGTTAATCAGTTTGATTTGCTCTGCTTTATCTCCCGCTTGGAACACCACCCTTCGCCACTCTCTGCTTGCCTTAATTCTTGCTCTTCCGCCAGTAGTCTGGGTTCCGCCTGTTCTTTGGCACAAGTTTGCTTGGCATGGTTTTGTCACAACGTTCGTTAACGTCCACGTTGAGGTCCGTGGGACCGCTGTATACGCTGTAAAGTTTTCGTCCTCCGTATTGCAACAAAAATCCGTTGGCCGATGCTATATCGGATCGCGTGATAGTCGCTATGAGTATGTCCCTTGCACACTTTCCAGTTCATGTTTGTCACCAGCGACGGACTGCAGAAAGTGACATCGACAATGGATTCCCAGTCGTCTATGCAAAAAGTGCTGATGGTGCGCTGCGTTGGTACATCTGGCCAAGCATTGAAGTATTCTGCGGTGACTACTGGACTTCGTCCTATCGTCTTTTCGGTATATTCATCCAACATCTGCTGGAACTGCTCTATCATCTATCTAGGGGGTGCGTTGCAACTGCATATGAAGATTCCCTTAATCTTGGCTATCACTAATCCTTCGTATAAGTTGCAACCACTTCTTGAATGGGGTATCTCCCTATAACTTGTATTGCAGCCATTCCTGCTCTATCCGTTACCCAGTTACCGTTATCGGGACGAAGTCGGTACGGCTTCACAATGTTTGCAACTTCACACTTTGTATCCGTTGTTGACTACCACAACAGTTGATGTGCAGTGTCGCTATGATTGAGGTTTGTTTGGGTTACCTCTATTACTTTTGGCTCGCCATTGCCTTTTTGAACGCTGGGAATTTGAAGTGTCTCGTCATATGGCCATTTCCTTCCTCCTTTTTGCAAAGCATGTACCTCGATTGCTTTGTGCAGTCTCTTGCGATGTGACCCTTCTCTCCGTATTTTCTGCACAGATTAGGTATGTCAGGTCCTTTACAGTTCTTCGTCTGGTGACCGAAGCCCATGCAATTAAAGGGTCTTTCCATTTGCGGGGTAGCCCGAGGAGTGGCTTTCAGCGAGCACACTGCCCACCAAACTTTTATTTCAATGACGTTTATATAAGGTCCGGGACAACACGCAGCTTGCTGGTGTTAGAAGCAAAAATATTGTAAACATTGCTGAGCACTCAACCCAAGCAACACGGCTTGTTATAAAGAAGTTGAAAATATTTTCCAATGATTTACGTGAATAATCAATAATACTTTAATATACATCATTTAATACATTTATACAACCTAAAAAGCTCAAGACACGGAGCTTATAAAACTAGATACTGGTCTTATAACATGTTTGGAAACATCATAAAAACCAGCGGCAAAAAAATTTGAGCATGGGATTCGAAACTGGTCCTTGGCGCGGTAGACTTATTACTTCCTAACTAGACTAACTCCGCTTAAGAAAAGTTTTATTATAGGGATCTGTCATGTTCTTGCCAATGGCATGATAATTATATTCTCGTGGAACACGCCTTTGATCCGTCACAAAGACGTTTTGTAAGCAGCAAAGCGTACATTCAATTGCCAGAGTGTTATTTAAAAGTATTTTCAACTCGTTATAACACGGGAAAAAAGCCGATTCCATTTTCATGAATAAAAATCATGAAATATAAAAAAAAAACTTGCCATCCCATGAAATTATAACAATGATTCATGATTTCGTTATGGAAATTCATGATTTCATAATGCAGCGGAATCATGACCGCTTCAAGCGTTACCTGGAAAACCGTGTTCACCTCACTACAAAGGTATCTCTTATACGCCTTTTGCCTTCCATCTGATACAATTACTGATAGTCTAGTGGTCAAAGCATGGGTTTAATGATCGTAAGATTCTTGGTTCGTTTCCAGTCTGATGCTTTATTTTATTTTTTTAAATGTTTTGGTTTAAAAAATAAAAGTTAAACTCATGAATTTAGTTCATGATTGGGTGCGCTACGCAAACAAAGCTCATGATATCATTAATATTATTCATGTTGTATTTTCATAACATGAAAATTCGCTATGTTCATGAAATCATGAGTTATTTTTCTCATTTCGGATTTTTGATTTGTTCCCGTGAAAACAACCTGCACCTTTTCAGTTGTATTAATTTATGAGATGTCATAAAAAAGTGTTTTCATCTTTCTTTATAACAAACCTCCGAAAACCT